AGTTAACAGGTTTTTACTGTAGCATTTTTACAGTCTTTTACTGTTAAAATCACAATCATTTTTTACAGTGTACTTTACCTGGTCGGTAGACATGGTTTCCAAATGAGATTTCTGCATTCGCCGGTTCCGTCAGCTAAGTCAACAAATTCACATGTATTGCACTGCCCACGGAGAAGCTTATACTGGGAGTGTCAATTTACGGTTTTTCACTGTAAATTATACAATGACTTTTTCTTTTTCACTTCCAAAAACTGTATGTTTAACAGTGTTTTACTGTAAAATTACATTAAATGTAATTACATTTATTCAACAAATATAGTATGGAAACTTACTGTTAACCAGTTAACAGGTTTTTACTGTAGCATTTTTACAGTCTTTTACTGTTAAAATCACAATCATTTTTTACAGTGTACTTTACCTGGTCGGTAGACATGGTTTCCAAATGAGATTTCTGCATTCGCCGGTTCCGTCAGCTAAGTCAACAAATTCACATGTATTGCACTGCCCACGGAGAAGCTTATACAGTGACAGTATTTACGACACTGGTAACAGACAATTGTGCTTATCAACCACATGGAAGAACCTTGAGCAAATATTCCATGGTGTTGGTTTTAAGTGGAAATCAGTTTACTAAATAATGTAATCTTGACTGTCTTACTTCCACTTTAAATAAAGAAGTGGATAAGATTCGAATAAACTCCACAAATTGAAACTCCACTGGACCAAGCCCAGGAGGAAGCCATTCCAATAGGACACTGTAAGTCCACTGAGGCATAAGCCAGGGCTGTAGCATCTACTATCTATTGGAGAGCTGTAAAGATTCCCATCGAGAGACCAAACATGAAGGCTCCACAGCTCGGGTTCTCTCGCTTGGGAGAAGAGGTCCTACCTCAACGGGGTTGGCCAAAGGGCTGCTGACAGCAGCTGAATCAACATCTGGTTCCTCCAGAGTGGGGCCACCAGGAGGACAGAGTCTCGCCTAATGACCTGAGAAAATAAGGCAATTGGAAGGAAGATATACAGGACAGCACTGGGCCAGTCATGGGTCAGAGCATCTTACTGCTTCTAGAAATAAGTTGGACAATGAGAGTTGTCTTCTGGGGCGAAGGGGTCCACCTCTGCCCTCTCGAAGGCTGACCAAATCATCTGAGCCACTTGAGGGTACAGTCTCCATTTTCCTGGAGATACATTGACCCGGGACAGCATGTCCACTCCCTGGTTCAGTCTGCCCGGCACGTGAACCACCCTGAGTGAACGCAGGATGCAATGTGTCCATAGAAGAAGGCATCTTGCTATCCTGTAGAGGGAGTGTGACCTGAGACTGCCTTGGTGATGGGCTACCACCATCATGTTGTCAGAATGGACGAGGATGTGGTGCCCCTTCTGGCCCTAAGTTTTTTTAGGGCCAGAAAAACCGTCATAATCTCAAAACAGCTGATATGCAGGCCTTGCTCCATACTGGACCGAAAGCCGAACGCTGATTTGCCCTTGTACAGTGCTCCCTAACCCGAGCTGGAGGCATCTGTTGTGACTACTTTCCTTCTGGAGGTCAGTACTAATGAAATGCCTGTCTGATACAGGCAAGGGCTTTCCACAGCTCTGATGCAGTGGTGGGTCACCTTGAGGCAAAAGCATCCCAAGCGCCAACCAGGCCCACATGTGGGCCGAATCGATAACCGTTCCCAGGAAGATGACCCATTGGCTGGGAGACAGAAAGCTTTTGAGCCCAATGAACTCCAGGAGGCTGAGCAGCAGCGAACTGTGAGCAAGAAGTTCCTGCTCTGATCCGGGCCAGTCGTTGACGTAATTCATAATGTGGATTCCCATCTGTCTCAGAGGGGAAAGTGCAGTGTCCAGTACTTCGTAATAGTGTGTGGGGCCAGAGACAGCCCGAAAGGCAGGACTGGATATTCATAAGCCACCCCCTCAAATGCGAATCTCAAGAATGGTCTGTGATAGGGGGCTATCTGGATGTGAAAGTAAGCATCTTTTAGATCCACTGATAGAAACCAGCATTCATTAAGAAGGTGATCTGCGAGTGAAGCAGGGTGAGACTCATGCTCTTGCAGTGAGAGCAGTCTGTCTTAGTGAGTGCAGCCTTAGTGTGGGCGTGGCCCAGGCAAGTGATGCACTCACTATGGCTGTCTGAAGCATGCAGGGGTGCCCTGCATGAGCCAGATTCATGGCTCGGCATTTGAAACAATGCCACAGAAATTTGCTCCTAGGAAATTTGCTCTTTGTGATTGCCGGATGGCCGCAGAGGAGAAGTGCTGAAGAGGAGCATCTTTCCGCTGCTAGGCCTCTTCTATGGCAAAAGCAGTCTTCTTCGTTCTTCTTCTTCAGAGTCCAGTGAGGAGATGATCACATTGAAGGAGAAAATTATGATGAATTAACATTCTCCAAATGTTTTGGTGGGCTGAAATGCCATTTGTTTGTGCAGCTACATGAATGTAAACAAATCAGGCTTCAGCATTCAAGTGTTCCCCCATAGCATTTCACACAATGCGACAGACCATTTTCAAAAGGGAACACTTCAGCCTGTAACTCCCTTGACATGCTTAGTTTAGATTAAAAAAAAGCTAAAGATTAATGTTTATTTTAACATAACTGAATTTCTGACAATCCTGCTTGGTGAGCTATTTCATTTAGTTCAAACTGTCAAGTTGAATGAGGATGACATAGCCATGGGTTGCGGAAGTGGGGGGCCTGCCTGGGACTGGGCCCAGGTTACTTTTGAGGTCTGGTATTATATAACATATGGTCGCTGTGATTTTGCCTAGTAAGACATGTTCCTGGATCAACATCTTTTGTTGATCCTGGATCAACATTACTGTCCAAAAATATAGACTAAACCCAATCCCTACCCCTAAACCTACCCATAATTTATTCCTAAAATCAGTGTGAAATGATAGCTGATTTACAAAGCACCTAACCCTGATTGTAAGCCTAAAACAGATATTTCCTGAAAAGTTATCCCTCAATTCTGATTGGTTATTGGGGATGTTGATCCAGGAACATGTTGTACTTGGTGAAATCACGGTCACCATAACATATATACATAGGCTATAGGCTCATATAATATAGCATAGGAATTGGAGGTGGGAGCAAATAAGTTCTACTTCTTTCCACTCCCTTTCAAGCAAGTATTATGTGTAGATATGTGTAT